AGCACTCTACCCAGGGCAACAGCTTGAGGCTCTGTCTCAAAAAAAAAAAAAAAACTAAACTAAACAGCAGCCATTCATGTATTGTGTTTTTTTTTCCCTAGGTGCTTGCTATTATGATGCTAATCAGTCTATGTACGTATTTGGAGGCTGTACCCAGAGCAGCTGCAATGCGGCCTTCAATGACCTTTGGAGACTTGACCTAAATAGCAAAGAGTGGATCCGACCCTTGGCTTCAGGTAAGATAGGAAGAGCTTTGCCTTCTTAGCAGGTAATTCTCTTGGCATGGAAACTTTACTTGATCCTTTTTGGTATTGGTCTCAAGGATAAGTTACTGAGGTCCCAGGTACTTTGTCAAAGCTGCTGTGTAAATGATAAGAGTAGTATGCTTGTGTAAGTCTTTGAATTTGTAAAAAATATATACTTTATCATTGGTACTAGTGTACTGCCAGAATTGCTATACTACTGTGTGAATTCATTTGCATGGTTTTCTCAAGTACTTGTTCATGTGTGATACTCTGTTTGGTATGAGGTTGAAGTAAGAACAGAAACACAAGAGTCGTGAGAACTGTAGTTGACTGACAGAAGGTATTGTCCCAGGGCTAAAGTCTCTGACTTTTGTTATTGCCAGCTCAGATATTTGGGGAGTGTATGGGACATGTCTCTGCTAGTTCCTCTTAACAGCTTGGAGGTGTGGGAAGATTCCATAGTAGGTACATTCCTGCACAGTCCCACTATGCCAGAAATCTGGATGAAAGAAACTACATTATTTTCTTTTTTCTGACCTGATCCTTTCTGAGGGGAAAAAAAAAACACACAATTGTTTTTGCACTTGTGAGACAGAACAATTTGAAGAGGCAGAGTTATAGGATTAGAGGAACTGGTAGTATAAGAAGTTAAGAGTCTGCTGAGCATAAAGTATTCACGTAGATTTGTTGGCAAGATTTTCCCAAAATATTCTTCATTTGGCTTTTCAAGGTAGAAGCTCAGCCTTAGGATTTAGGAGACTTGGGTTTCCCTTGGGCAGGTTCCTTACTTATTTAGGCCTTGCTTTACTATTTAGGGTAGTTAAGAGACAACATGGCCTATTAGAAAGGGCACTGGACAAATGAGGGAGGAGACACGAGTTTCATTCCCTGGCATAATCACCAGTTCTCTGTGTATCTATGAACAAGTTACTACACCACCCTGGAATAAATGTGGAGTAGGACTAGATAACTCTATTTTTAAATAGGCTGAGAAAGCTAGTTTATGTTTCTCTCTGTTTATATAACCTCTGCTGTTAATGTACAGGCCAGGGGCGCAAACCTACTTATGAGAAGAAGATGCATTTTGCTTCCTCAAAGCTGTAGGTCTTGTTCCTTGTGCTTACAATAGGCAAATGTTGGAGGAGCAGACTGACAGTGGATACTCACAGGAATGGCTGGGTTTTGTGTAGATGAAGTTCTTTTTTTTTTTTGAGACAGAGCCTCAAGCTATCCCCCTGGGTAGAGTGCCGTGGCATCACAGCTTAGAGCAACCTCCAACTCCTGGGCTCAAGCGAGTCTCCTGCCTCAGCCTCCCAAGTAGCTGGGACCACAGGTGCCTGCCACAGCGCCTGGCTGTTTTTTGGTTGCAGCCATCATTGTTGTTTTGGCAGGCCCGGGCTGGATTCGAACCCACCACCTTAGGTGTACATGGCTGGTGCCTTAGCCACTTGAGCCATAGGTGCCGAGCCATGAAGTTCTTTATTAAAATTATTGAAGACTTCGTATGGTTACGTGTAATCCTAGCACTTTTGGAGGCTGAGGTGGGAGATTCACTTGAGGCCTGGAGTTTGGGACCAACCTGAGCAATATATTGAGATTGGTTTCTACAAAAAAATAGAGACATTAGTGAGGTGTGTGCCTATATTCCTAGCTACACAGGAAGCTGAGGCAGGCGGATGGCGTGAGCCCAGGAATTTGAGGTTGCACTAAGCTATGGTGATGCCACTACACTCTAGCCTGGGCAGTACAGTGAGACCCTGTCTCCAAAAAAAAAAAAAAAAAAAATTAGCAGAAAGATAACAAAATGGTAGTCTTTTATAAAAAGTGTGAATGGTTGTATTATTTTAGGACCCTTAGAATTTTGTACTTTGGAGGGTCTCCTTTTCTAGCCCTTTGGGTCCCCTGTTGTATTGAGTGCAATAATGATGAATATTTAGAGGCACAGATTCTAAAATGTACTGGTAAAAGGTCTTTACAGTTCAAGCATACTGTTACCACTACACTTGGTATTTTGTCCAAGCCCCATTTCAGAGCAGCTTTGTTTTAACTAATTAATTTAATTTTTTTTTTTTTTTTTTTTGAGACAGAGTCTCAGTCTGTCTCCCTGGGTAGAGTGCCATGGCATCTACCTCACAGCATCCTCATCTAGTTCACAGCATCCTCATCTAGCTCACAGCAACCTCAAACATGGGCTTAAGCTATCCTCTTTCTTCAGCCTCCTAGGTAGCTGGGAGCTGGGACTATAGCCACTTACCATGATGCCTGGCTAGTTTTTCTATTTTTAATGGGGGGGGGGGTCTCACTCTTGCTTAGGCTGGTCTTGAACTCCTGAGCTCAGGCAATCCATCTGCCTTCTCCTCCCAGAGTGCTAGGATTATAGGTGTGAGCCACTGAGCCCAGCCTCAAAGCAGCTTTGATTGTTCCAATCACAAAATATGAATACTGCCTTTCTCTGTTTTGTAACCAAGCTTTATGCCTTTGATAATTTGGCATGGGTGTTGCTGTCTCTTTTCAAAGTGGAGCTCTGGGCTTGGCACCTGTAGCTCAAGCAACTAGGGCACCAGGCACATATACCAGAGCTGGCAAGTTCGAATCCAGCCCAGGCCCGCCAAACAACAATGACAACTACAACCAAAAAAATAGCCTGGCCTTGTGGAGGGCGCCTGTAGTCCCAGCTACTTGGGAAGCTGAGGCAAGAGAATCGCTTAAGCCCAAGAGTTTGAGGTTGCGATGAGCTATGACGCAACAGCACTTTACCCAGGGCCACAGCTTGAGACTCTGTCTCAAAATAAAGAAAGAAAGACAGAAGAAGAAACTGGAGCTCTGGCTTTGGGACTTTTATAGCACGCTGCCAACTACTTCGCTTATTTCTCCCTGTAAGATGGACATGGAATTTTTTTTTTTTTTAAGTCACAAAGTTTAAAGAGACTATGCTTGTTAGAGAAATAACTAATTTGGTAATTTCATTCTCTAAAGAATCTGAATTTTCAAAAATAAAACATTTGGAATGTTTCCTTTGATAAAACATATATGCTCCTGAATGTTTAATTTTCTAGCAGAATGTCTCAAAGAATCTAGTTACTGCCTCACCCTAATCCACAATTATAGCCTAGTTTTAGAGGAAGGAAAAACTGAGCTTTTTGAAATGTCTGTTTTAAAAAACAATAGTTTAATAAAGAGCCCTATGAGGTTCTCATTTAGGCAGAAATCCCATGGGAAGATGCCCTGAGGAAATGTTTCTGTATGCTGTCATGATTCCCAACACAAATCAGGTCCTAACTGAAACATCATTGAGCTTTCTGAACAAAACACCCTTGTTCCTGGGTCTTGGTGTGCCTGACTCATCCCTTTCAGTGCACTGAGGCAGGTAGGTTGGAGGGTGGCTGAGGGGGAGGGTGCTACCTACCTCCTTTTGTTGTAAGTTGCCAGGCAATCTTCTAGCATTTGAGTATGTGCAGGTAGTGATAGTAGCTTTAACAGTGTTCGGTCTTCACAAGTTAGAGAAGGAAGAGCATGAAGCAAGCAGTAGAACTTTTGGTCTTGATACAGAGTGTCTTGATAACGCTAGCTACCGCATGCCATGTCTTGTTACATGTAGGTCTGGTTATGTTGCACATGAGTATGAATGAATATTCTCATTTTGGTTGGAGTCTTAGCTCAGGCTGTCATAACAGAATATCACAGACTAGGTGGCTTAAACAACGGGGATTTATTTTTCCCACTTCTAGAAGCTGGATCAGAGTGCCAACATGGTTGGGTTCTGGTCAGGTCTCTCTTCCTGGCTTACAGATGGCCCCCTTCTCATTGTGTTCTCACCTAGTGCAGAGAGGCAACTCTGGTGCCTCTTCTACTTCTTATAAGGGAATTAGTCCCATCACCGGGGCCCCATTTGCATGACCTCATCAAAACCTGATCATCACCCAGAGGCCCCATCTCTAAATACCCTCACACTGAGGGTCAGGGCTTCACCATATGAATTCGAAGAGAGCACATTCAGTTTGTACCAGTTGGGATTAATGTGATTTGCCAATGAAGGCTTGTCCCTTTAGTTCCTTTCAAAATTATAGGAGTGCTCCATCTGGAGGTAGGGTGGTGATGGCAGATCTTACAGCTAAAAGAGACCTATAGCTAGTGTTTCTTAGACTTTTTCAGTGAAGTACCTCCTTCTCCTTTTCTGGTGCCTCTGCCCTCATGGAGCTTATATTGAATAGGGAAGAAACAAAAAACAAGTCAGGAAATAGAAATTATGAAGGAGACAAACAAGGAATGAAATATAGAATAAGAAGGGGAGAACAGGAGAGTTTTTTTTTCCCCTGAGACCTAAAGAATAAAGAATAGAGGGAAGTGGCTTGGCACCTTAGCTCAGTGGTTAGGGCGCTGGTCACATGCACCGGGGCTGGTGGGTTCGAACCCGGCCAGGGCTTGCTAAAACAACAATGACAACAATAACAAAAAAATAGCTGGGCATTGTGGTGGGTGCCTGTAGTCCCAGCTACTTGGGAGCTGTGGTAAGAGAATTGCTTAAGCCCAAGAGTTTGAGGTTGCTGTGAGCTGTGACACCAGGGCACTCCACTGAGGGTGACATAGTGAAACTGTCTCAAAATAAAAAAAAAAGGAATTGAGGGAAGTAAGAATAGCATGTACAAAGATCCTGGGGCAGCAAAGGACATATTGGAACTTGACAGTAGATCTTTGTGGATGTAGCACAATGAGCAATAGGGGATGGTAGCACAGATGGAGTTGAGATGTAGGCAGGACCCAGTTCATTCACAGGCCAAGGCAGGGATTCAGAAACCTTTGAGATTTTAAGGTGCATTGGTCCAATTTACATTTGAAAAAAACATTTAGCTGCTATTTAGGAAATGAAATAAAGGAGGACAAGAAACTTAAAGTCAGAACAGATAGGAGGCTAGGAAAATTGACAAGACTTCTAGATTAATTGAATAGGGGAGGGTGTGACAACCAATCAAATATAACTTAAGTTCCAGGCT